GGGGGGGGGGGGGGTTGTGAATGCACAATAAAAAAATTGAGTCGGTGAATTTTTCAAAAATATCTCCTCAACTAAGGGAGACAGCGATTTTTTACTGAAAATTTGGGGTAGAGGTGTAGGGATTGAGGTGTAGTCGGGAAGGTAAGAATCCACTAACAAATGCAATTAAACTAACAATTACAGATTTATTATCCGCGTCAAATTAATACTCTAATGTTCAAAATTTTATACTACAAATTTAAGGCTAGAATAAATTTTATGTAAGACAATCAAGAACCAAATCCACAATTGTAAATTAAATCGAGTGCGTTTCATCACTTGGACTCGATTAAAAATTCCAAAGACACTGGAATCGAGTTCAAAAGTGATGAAATGACACACTCAGCACGCCCCAATTACCCAATACTAAGATTTGCACGCGAAGGAACGATTGAAAACCGATTAATTGAAACCCCAAAACCCGAATGAACTACTTCCCCATAAAAATCAAAAGAGTGGGAAAAGTCATACGACATTTTCCACCAATCAACAATGGACTCGTTGGAGCCCATGTGACAAGTGACCCCAAAATTCATATAAAAATGTCAGAAAAATCAAAATTAAACAGTCTTGAAGCAGCGACGGAGCAGTAACAATTCTGGTGGAAACAGTTCATTTAATCGTTCCGGTTTTTCAATCCTTCCTTCGATTACACGGGATAGTACTAAATTAATAGTAAGTTACGAACAATTGCAATTATCCGGGAATAAAATTTCTTCAACCGAGAGTGGTGACTTTTCTTGCAAATAAGGAATTCGTTTGTTGTGACGCGTTGTGGACAGTCTCAACCAAACTCTTAAAATCTTCAAATTCAACTGCCAAAAATTCATTAAAATATCAACGAGTAGAAGAAAGTGTTTCCGTGAAAGTATCCATAATAGCCTTTAGCGCGACTAATTGCTGGTGACGAAATTACGGATTTACCCAGGGATCTACAAACACATCGAATAATTTATAAGTAACAGACCGAATTGTGAGTAACAAAAATTTGTAAACCTAAATTTGAATCCTGCAGATCATTCCAGGGATAGGAATTTTAGCTGCATAGATTTCTGTAAAATCACGCTTATGTTTTTG